GAAGCCGTCTCCCCACCTAATCCGTGATCTTCCTCAGTCCCTGTGGAAGCCGTCTCCCCACCTAATCCATGATCTTCCTCAATCCCTGTGGAAGCCGTCTCTCCCTGTACTACAACCACTTCCCATTTTGGCACGGACTGTGCTCCCAGTGTGGCGCCAGGGAGGTGTGCGGCAAGAAGCATCTGAGGGCTGTTGGTGGTCACTTCCACCGTGGGTGTGCTCGGGTGACCCAGGGTAATCCTGCATGTCTCTGGAGGCTTGAACAAAAGGAGGTGAAGTGGCAAATCACCAGAGCGGTTTGCAGGAGCAAAGAGAGCAGGTTTGGATGGCAGCTGCAGAGGGGCTTCTGCTCTGCAATCTGGTCAGGCGTTCCGATGTTTGTTTAATCTTGACTGACTGAGCTCGATGGAGGAGGGGCCACACGTGGCAGCTTAGCGCTTGAATGTGGTTAGTGAAACTGAGGAGCCCCATATTTTGTTAATTGGAGTTAACGTAAACTGAAGTAGCCATATGTGGCTAGTGGCTCCCGTGTGGGCCAGCACAGCTCTGGGGGTGTGGCCAGATCCAGGTTGGGAGTGCAGGACTTCCAGCATCCCGATGCAGGGGGTGGGGGGGCAGGTGGGCACAGAGTATCTGCTACTCCCCCGTCCCGTAGGCTAAAGGTTGATCAGGGCATTCAGACGTCAGCCCGATCCATCCATGATCAAGCTCCCTATCTGCTCTCACCTCATGGCTCTAGCAGCCATTGATCCATTGAGAACAATCCCCCGGATCCATTATTTCATTAGGGGTCCAGGTGTAAGATAATCTGTAGACATTGCAGAGGAAAAAACAAGGTATTACAGATTGAGGGCAAAGGTGTTGTGTGTGGAGCACAGAGGGGACGTCCAGTGTATGGAGCAGGGAGCCCCATGTGTGGGATGGAACTCAGGAGAATTTTCTGCAGCAAAGGAAGGACAGCCCTCCATGCACCAGGAAGAATCAGTTCAGGAGAAATGACCACTGCACGTAGCCATCAAACTTCAAAGATAAGAACTTCTTCAGGCAGAAAAAACGAGTCAACAGTGACAGATCAGGCAGCCTCAGATGTCTCCAGAGCGGTGCTCAGAGCCAGGAGGCCATGGGACAGCCTACCGGACCCAGGCTAGCACATCCAGCTAAGGAGTGGACGTGCAAAAAGATGTGCTCAGACACGAGAGAACCCCACGAGTGGCGTCTGCTCCTCACCCGTGAAGCTCTCCAGCCGCAAGCTCAGGAACAGACGCTGGGCAGAACCCCACGGGCCTTTGCAGTCCTGATCACCCCCGTCAGTGTTCTTGACCAGACCACCTGCAATAACTTGCCTCCTGACTGCCCCCTTCCCCAGGTCATTGGTTTTTGCAGGGTTCCTCTAAAGTGTCTGGGGGTGGGTGGGTAGCAAAGGGTCAGGTTCCTGGATGGCCCCCCCACACTCTTTTTTGTTTTTGTGGCTTGCGTATGGTTTCGATGGATGTGAGGGTCACTGCTGAAGCTGTTTGAGAAGCACTGCCCTGAGTGGCTCACAGGTTTATGTCACTTTGTGTTTGTTTGGTGAACTGATGCCGGATAGGGGGGCCCCAAGAAGGGGCCTTGGTGAGGGATGTAGAGCCAAGCCCAGGTCTGTGTGGAAAGAGTCCAGCCCCACAGGTGATGCGGGATGTCGCATGGTGGACGAGAAGGTGACGGGTGTGGACCTGAGGCCATGTGGGTCTTGGTCACCTTGGCAGGCTTGCTTCCCCTCCCTCCTGGGCAGCCCCCTCCTGTCAGGAGATGACTATTGTCATGGTGACAGAGGGTATAGACGGTTGCGGGGGCTGAAGGACTTTTGGACTTTCTGAGCCTTGATCAAAGGTGTCACATGAGATTGGCCTGGGGCTTCTGTGTCCTATTCCCATGATGCCTACAGGTGTCAATAAAATCATTTAAGAGTCGATATTTTTAAACCCAATAGCTTAGAAGCAGGAGTCTGGGACTATTATAGACAATCAAGTCCTCTTCAGAAATCTAAATGAGATTTTAAACCAAACCTTAAAAAAATCTCACATTGAAAACTTCTTCATATGGCACCCTTATCTGCAGTAAGTCCTGAAAACCCACAGATGAAATGTTATGAAATAACTGTCCATGGCCACCTCCTTCCCTGACCTCAAGGGGTCTTTAGGAAAGAAATGATAGCCGCATCCTGTTTATGCTCCTTACCAGGCCCAGGGGCTCAATGGTCAGAGGGTCCACGCTCAGGCAAGCCCAGAACCCAGACCTTGTCCCTCGTCTGCTACTCTGCACTGCCCACGTGGTCTTCCAAAAGAACCTCCACTGAAAGAGGGCCAGATACGAAGGACAGATACCATAGGATTCCACGGATGTGAGGTCCCTGGGGGAGTCCTATTCCCAGAGACAGAATGTAGGATGGTGGGTGCTGGGGCCTGGGGAGGGGATGGGAGTTGTTTTGTGGGGACAGAGATTCAGTGTGGGAAGAAGAAGAGTTCTGGAGATGGAAGGTGGGAATGGCTGCACAACAATGTGAATGGGCCTGATGCCACTGAGCTGCACACTTAAAAATGGTTAAGGTGGTGGGCCGGCCCCATGGCTTGGCGGTTGGGTGCGCACGCTCCGCTGCTGGCGGCCTGGGTTTGGATCCCGGGCGCGCACCGATGCACTGCTTCTCCGGCCATGCTGGGGCCGCGTCCTACATGCAGCAGCTAGAAGGATGTGCAGCTGCGGCATGCAACTATCTACTGGGGCTTTGGGGGACAAAGAAGGGAGGAGGATTGGCGATGGATGTTGGCTCGGGGCTGGTCTTCCTCAGCAAAAAAGAAAAAGAGGAGGATTGGCATGGATGTTGGCTCAGGGCTGATCTTCCTCACACACAAAAAAAATGGTTAAGGTGGTAAATTGTATGATATGTGTAATTTACCACAATTTTTAAAAAGCTTGAGGTTGCCCCACATCTGAAGGCAGATGCACTTGTCACTGTGGCTTGTACCCTGTGCTGACATGGGTGGGGGGCCTGTGGTTAGTGGGTGGTATGGCCACCATCCAGGGAATCGCCACAGTGGACTTGTCTGCTGTGCATCCTGCACTCGCCGCCTGTGTGAGAACATGGCTGCTTGACCTGTGAGCTGTGCGGAAATCTCAGGCAGAAGCTCATGATGTGGACTCGACAGAGGTTTTCCTGACGTTCAGAAGGCAGCGAGCGGCTCGTTTATGAGGCCTACACATGTTGTTTACTCTGAAGGGTGGGCGCAGCGTTCGTGTCCCCACGAGCACCGAGGCAGTGACACGCTCCTTCCCTCTTTGCCCACAGGTGACCTACGGCTCCTTCGACTACACCTCACTGCTGTACCTCTCCGACTACTTGGATGACTTCGGCGGGGGGCGGTTTGTGTTCATGGAGGAGGGAGCCAACAAGACGGTAGAGCCCAGAGCCGGTAGGACGCGCAGGCGGCGGCCGTGGGGTGGTGTGGGCCGGTTTTGAGGGAGCAATGCTACATTTATGGAGCACCCACTGTGTGTCAGGTGGCCAGTGTCTGCCTGGATTCACCAGCGACACCCAGGAAGCCCATTCCTCAGAGGAGGAGGCGAGTGTGTCCGCGGTCACTGCCATCACAGTGGAGCGGGTTCCTAGAGCCTGCCCCCACGCCCTGTGTGCAGGTGGTCCCACCGCCATCCCCTGCAGTGTGCCCCTGCTCTGCCTCTTCCCAAAGGGACTCGGCAGCTTAAGAAGAGGTAATGCTCCCAACCTAATAATGTCCATAACGGCACTGAGCCCTGGGGCCTGCCTCGCTGGATCTCGTGGTCCTGGAGCCCCTACTGCCCCCAGGACAGTGCAGGCATTCAGTGCTGCCCAGTGAGCATGTGTTGAGCCGATGAATCGTCCCCTCCTGTCTCGAACTTGTAGGGAGGGTAAGCCCAGGTCCTGGGGGTTCTCCCCAGGGGCTTCTTGAGCGGCAGCCCAGGCCCTGGCCCTGGCCCAGCCCCCGCCCAGTCGAGACTCACAGACAGAGCCCAGCCACTTGGCACCTCGGACTGTGCCGATGCTGTTCACCTACTGCCGCGTCTCACCCGTCCCCACGTTGTCGTCCTCACCTGCTTATTGGCCTCAGAGCCAGCATCTACTCCCACCTGGTGGCAGCTGAGTCAGACCAGCGAGGCTGTCCAGTTGCATCGCTTCAGAGTGTTCTCATGGGCTGTGGGGCAGTTCTTTATACCGTGGGTCCAAACTGCTCCTTGAGTAGCCCCAAATCAGACATGAAAGTGGCTTGGAAATCAGGCATAAAAAGGAAATTGAACAGGTCAGGGGGAACTCCCCTCCGTCAGCAGGATGAGCGCCGGGAGGGGTGCAGACGGTGGAGGGGCAGCAGGCAGAGGGGCCTTGGGACCCCCTGCAGCTGTGTAAGTGTTGGGGGCGGGGGATGGAGCAGACATGGGGCACCCACCCTGTGACCAGTGGATGAGGAGCCCAGGGGACAGAGTGCTGCATGCAGGGCATGAGGGCTGGAGTCTGGGGTGTGGGGTGGGGTCTGAGGAAGCGGTGCTGGTCCCCCAGCGGTATAGGGGACCCCTCCACAGAGGCCAAGTGGGGATGGTGATCAGGGCCTGGCATCACCGCCGCTTTAGGAAATGGGATTGCAGGAGACCGGGGATGCGGGCAAGACCTGGGCCCTCCATCGGGGGTTATTTTAAGCTGTCAGGGCCACCTCCCTAACCACGCCCAGCGTCCCTGGCAGCTCAGGCAGAAGGGACAGGGGCAGAGTCCTCAGGGCTGGAGCCGGGTAGGGCAGGGCTTGCGCCCGTCCAGTGGGTGTTTGGTGGTCAGAACTCAGCCTCACCCTGACTGCAACAAAGGCAGATAGGGTTTGTTTCTGGCTTTACCTACTAGATATTGACACATGGCCAGCTCTCGATGCTCCTGATACTAACTTCAGAAATTTTCAGAAATCCAAGCACAAATGTGCATTTTTTAATATAAATATATTAAAATCCATTTTGTGTTTCTCTAAGTTCATAAAAATGGGCTACATTCAGGGACGTGATGGAGTTGGTTTCATGGGGTTATGTCGAGGTCATGTGCCATCTTCTCGTCAGGGGTTCTGTTCCCTCGGCGTCTCCTGCTTGGCTCTCCTCCCTGACCCCGGCGCTGAGCCCCAGCACCACGTGCTCCTACTCGTCCGCTGGTGCTGACAGATTTCATTAGATCGAGGGAGGAAAGGAATCCCTCCGAATGCTTTCCGATCTGACCCAGCATTCCCAACTCTGCAGCTTCTGAGATCTGTGTAGGATGATTACAGAACAAAACGTGGTGCTAGGAGGTCTCATTTGGAAATCTTTCTCGGGCATAAACATTACGCTGGAAGAAAGGAGCAGCCTTCATTACTAAAGAGAAGACATTCCATCGTTTTTCTGATTTACTACAGCAGAAGAATGTGCAAATGGCTCCTTGGTATCAGACAGTTGACTCAGAAGTCAGGTCACCTGGGGGTCACTCCTAAGGGAATGGTTCTCATTCTTGGCTGCGTCAGCCTCCCCTCTCTCTGGAGGTAAGATGGCTTGAGCCATGGGACCGTGGACAAATTCATTGCATGGTGAGCGAAATTCTCAGACAGTTGAAGCCCAGAAAGAAAATGCCAGGCGGGCTGGCAGTGCCGGTGCTCCGACTAGGCTGAGCCTGGACGTGGGAGGTCTGCAAAAACGCCTCCCTTCCAACACAGGAGGCCGCGTGAGTGCAAAGGGTGCAGGACACAACCCCACAGCAGCCGCACACAGGAGAGGCCATCTCGCAGGAGGTGGAGCCTGGCCGTTTGCGTCACTGGGATGTCTATCTGTACAGTTTCTAAAGAAGAAAAAAGTAACCCCAAGTGAACATTTTGCCCATAATTGCATGTTTTTGACAGTCTTGGTGTGGAAACAGTGGGCATCCTGATCCACTGGGCTGGGAGCTTGACCTTCTGGAAGTTTCTCCCAGAACCTCCTGTCTCTGTCCTCAGATTTGCAAGCAGCCCCAACCACCATCCATGGCCCCCAAGACCCTGCCCATGTGTCCCACACTAGGGTTGAGGTGCGGGGGTTGTGGGTGTTCCAAGGCCAGGCAAGCTCGAGTCAGCGTGACCGTGGGGCTGGGACGCCCTGCAGCCTCCACACGCTGTGCCAGCTGGCCCACCACCCATGATATTAGATGCTCCATCCGTCAGTAACAGGGTCAGTGTTACCCTGCTGGGTAGATCAACCATGGAAACTGACGCTAGAGCATTGAACCCTGTAAGGTTGTTATATTCACTCCATTCATTCATTCATTCATTCATTCATTCATCTGAGAGGTATTGAGCACCAACTGTGTGCCATGTAAAATATTCAAGATCTACAGATATGCCAGTGAGCAAGAGGTTCCGCATCCCGTGGAGTGTACATTCTTGCTGGGGAGACAGACACCCACCAGAAAAGTTGGAATGTCCTCGGTGTGGTGGTGGTGAGCACTGTGACGAGATACATGACAAGGTTCAGCAGGTGACAGGACTCGAGTGTGGGTGGGAGTTCCAGCTCACGCTTAGTGATTCGGGCAGGCCTCTTGGTAAGACCTCGGCTATACTGGGAACAGAGCACACTTGATGTCCAGGGAGGGTTCTCAGACAGACACCACTGTTCCCAAGGTTCACATATAACCTGGGGTCCTGGAGAAGCTTCTAAGCCAAGAAGTGGGCAGTGCGGCCTTCCTTGAATTCTCCTTGTTCTGGCCGTGCCCAGGGGCTCTGTGCACTGTGATGGGGCTGCTCTGGGGTGGACGGACTGCCAGCCAGGGGCTAGACAAGCACCTGGACAGGGGCCCTCCCAAATCCAGGGTGCCCAGGAGGGCTGGGATGCCCCTGTTTCTTCATCTGTTTTGACGGTCCTTAACTCTTTAACCTCTTGCAGGATCTCTGACTTGCTTGTTTTGAGATTCTTCTCTTATTTATATTTTGTTGGAGAGTTTGATTGTCTACCCCTAGTGTTAGTTGGGACTTTATTGCAGGCTCACTTTAAGGGTCTCTCTCTCCACACCCACCCCTCCTCTCCTGAGCTGTCCTGGCCCCCTTTCTGCTGCGAGGGTCCCAGCCCTGCCTGCCCTGCAGCACTTCTGCCCATCATTCCCCACAGGTGGGCTGGGGACCTGAGGCTGCAGCCCCTTGCTGCCTCCACCTCTGAGGTGGTCCTCCGGGGCGTCCAGCTTGACTTTGCCTGGCCTCGCTCTGTCTTTTAACCACATTATCAGTTATCAATACATGTAGAGGGGAGGGGGATTGAAGGCTACCGAAAGCAGACGTCCGGTCTGTCTGTCCTCACCCCGGGAGTCCCAGTTGTGGCCCACAGAACTCACAGTGAGAGACAGACTTTCCTGTAAGAAAGAAAGTGGGTGGAGTATCATTCCTAGGACTCACAAATATACAACTTTTAGCCTGTTTTGCTTTTATTGTTTTTTTTAATTTTTTTGTGAGGAGACCAGCCCTGAGCTAACATCTGCCAATCCTCCGCTTTTTTTGCTGAGGAAGACTGGCCCCGGGCTAACATCCGCGCCAGTCTTCCTCCACTTTATGTGGGACGCCACCACAACATGGCTTGCCAAGCGGTGCGTCAGTGCGTGCCCGGGATCCAAACCAGCGAACCCCGGGCCGCTGCAGCGGAGCGCGCACATGTTAATGCTTGTGCCACCGGGCCAGCCCCTAGCCTGTTTTGCTTTTAAACATTTTAAGCACAGTAAACACTTGAGTAGAACCTTTTATATCATGATCTCCTCCCAGGATTAAAATGCCTTGTCACCTGCATGTATGTCTATATAATTGTATATATCTATGTGTTTAAATGTGATTTGTGTAGTATGCATATCATCGCAGGTATGGAGAGAGAATCTATTTAGGTAATAATCACGTGGTTACATTTTACGACACTTCGAGTGGGTCATGTGCTGATGTGTTGCAGCAGAGTCTCTGTGTTCAGGGGTTCAATATAGGGACTCAGAACTCAGAAAAGCTGTTTCACTGACAGTTACAGTTTGTTGCAGTGAGAGGATGTAGATTAAAGTCAGCCAAGGGCAGAGGCCCATCGGGAGGTCCAGGAGGGACCAGGCGTGAGCTCCCAGGTGTCCTCTTCCAGTCCTTAATTCTCCCAGAATGACGTGTGACAACACACACGGGGGATGGCCAACCAGGGAGGCTCACCTGAGCCTTGGTGTCCAGGTTTTTTATTGGGAGTGGTCACCTAGGCATGGCTGACCACCCGCATGGCTGACCTTAGTCTCTAGCCCCTCCAGAGCTCAGGCTGATGCTGCGTGTGCCGAGGCCCCACCATAAATCACACCTGATATGGCCCGAGGTAAGCAGACACTCCTATCGTGCACAGTGTTCCAGGGCCTTGGAGCTCACTGCCCAGTAGTTGAGGACCAAGGGCCATACCTTTTGAGGGAATGTACAGGGTGTGGACAGCCCAGGCCTGCTGAGTTGACCCTTGACTGCACAGGCCCTGGGCCCCCAAGATGTATTTGTTACAAGTTGACATCTTGCGGGTTCCAGGATTTAATGGACTGCGAGCCACAGAAGCTTGCAGTGCTACGGCTGGATGTCACATGTCACCCGCTTTCGGGAGGCGTCCAGGGTGCCTTGTTGCCCAAGAGGAGAAAGACATAGGATTCTAAAAACTGAGATTATTTCATATCTTTAGTTGTTCAGTTGCCAAGCTAAATCCCACTTTAAGGAAGTGGATGATAATCTAATAGTTGTTTACTGAAGAAAATAAGAAGCCAGAAAGCACCTTTTTCTGAATTCTGAAACGTTTTGTGGTCGTGGAGCTGGGTGGCAGCATCGTCAGACAGTCAACGCCCTGGTGTAAACCACAAGCTCTCTTTGCTCTTTGCCTGTGGAGTGGGTTCCCAGAGCTGGCCGGCCGTAGTTGGGTCACTGCTCAGGGGGTGATTTCATCCAGTCCTCGGATCATTTCCTCCTGCCACTGGGCTCCTCCAGGGCGTTGCTGTAGTACCTATCACTGGTTTAGTTACTGTGGGCTTTTGAGCTGTTGGAATTAAGTGTAGAGCTTAATTGCTGGGTCATTAAGAATAAAAGAGGGCCTTAGGCAACCTTGTACAGCCTGTACCGGCCTCTTCTCTACAGGTTTAGTTGGGTCTGAGAATTTGCATTCCAGGCTGACGAGAGGAGAGTCAGCCACGTTATCTCATGACATCAGCTATCTCGCATCCCAGCCTCAGGGGCTCATCGAGGCACATCTGTCAGTCAGTTGGTCCATCCGTCCCTCCATCCATCACTGCACATCCCAGGGGGCGTGCCCTTTGGCCCAGGGAGGGTGATGCGTGGCAGATAACCAACAAATAAGGCTGTCTTAAATAGTTGTCATTTTTCTTTAAACAGTTTATTATCTCTTATGGAAATTAACAGGAATTATACACAATGTGTTATATTTCCCACTTACTCATTCTTTCTAGCACTCTCCATCCTTCCTGTAGATCAGGTCTACAACGGGTGTTATTTCTCTTCAGCCTTTAGCATTTCTTGGAGTGCTGTCGATGATGTCTCTGTAAATGTCCTCTACACGTTTTTTAAAGAATGTTCTCACTGGCTATGAAATTCTGGATAGATGGGACTTTCTTTCTCTTTAGAAACGTGCCTCCTTTACTGGCTCCACTCTTGCGGAGGGAAGGTCCGCATCTTGGCCCCTGAGGAGCTGCCTTTTTTCCTGCTGCTTCCAGAGTGTCCCTAATCTTTCCTTTCATTGGTTTGACTCTGATGCGCCTCAGTGTGCATCTATTTGTATTTATCCCACTTGGAGTTTGCTAAGCTTATTGCATGTAAAAGTCAAGATTTTCATCACATTGGGGAAAGTTTTGGTCATTATTTCCTCAAATGTCTTTTTCTGCCCTGTTATGAATCTTGTCTGGCGTTGGCCCTGCTGCACAGATGGGCCTGGCTGCTTGTTCAATGTCGCAGATTTGATTGAAACTGGAAGAAACTGAGGACAAAGCGTCTTTTAAAAACATAAGCCTCGGAAAGTGTTGTTACTCTGGGTTACTCTGGGGAAGTGTTTCCTTCGTGCTGGGGCAGCCTGGCTGCTCTGGAGGAGGGAGCGGCTGCCGTGTCAGGTCCTGAGAGTCCCGTGGTGTCACACGATTTCTCGTGCTCGTCATTTCTGAGCCGGGCGGAGGTTCTCTGCCCACAGCTAGGAAGCAGCACTCATCTGGGATGGACTTTCCTCCCTTTCAGGGGTTTAGAGTCAAGTTGCAAATAGGAAGGGAAGCAGTCGAGCTTCCGGCACTGACCTGTGAGGGGAAGTGAAATTGTCACGGAATGCGGTTTGGAGCTGGGCTGTGTGGCGGGAATGCAGAGCGTGCGGAACCCAGGACCTCATCTCTGATAACTTTGTAATGTCAGCTCACTTGTAGAAACATCTACTGTGGCCTCTGGGAGGCCAATTAAGTACTGAGGCAAATAAACACGGAATTCTCTGAAAACAGAGTGGACTCTCAGCAGCTCCTCCCCAAGTCTGTCTTTTATCTCCACGGGACAGGAGCTGCTCTGTGGGCATCTCGTCTTGACTTGTCTTTCCTGACTCTGTTAAAACATTGTCTTCACACTCCAGGATTTGGTTTTGTTCAGATGTGATTAGAAATAAGAATCTAATGTCGGACCTGAAAGGCTGTGAGAGGTGGGCCTGGGAAGATCCCGTGGCTGTTGGGGCACCCTGGGCGGATACGCAGGACCTGGTCACCAAGTCTGGGCCCTCCCCACCACAGAGAGCCCCTGGTGTGGGGTAGCGGCTGGGGCGCCCCTCATCCCGCACCGAGGGCTCGCCTGCTGGTCTCTGAATGCTGCTGGTTTATCTCTCTGACCTCCTCCTGCTTCCTGCACCCGCCGTTCCTAGAGTGGGTGGGTTTCTCCAGTTCTCCTGGTTGGTTGTGTTGGTTTGCTACAACTGTTGCATCAGCGCCGCCTGAACGGCAGGTCCTCTGAAGCCCACGGCCATGTGTGCAGCCTCCACGGTCACTTCTCTCTTCTTCTCTCCCAGGCCGGGTGTCCTTCTTCACCTCGGGGTCCGAGAACCTGCACCGTGTAGAGAAGGTCCATTGGGGCACCCGCTACGCCATCACTATTGCCTTCACCTGCAACCCTGACCATGGCATCGCAGACCCAGTGTTCACGTAGCCCGCGTGGTCCGTGGCACCCTCACTGAACATACGCCCTATTCCCTCCCGTTTCAGCGCATTTCCATTGAACAAGGTGCCTTATGAATCATCAGGATTTTGATTTGCTAATGTTCGATCAGTTTTCATCTGTGAATAAATTAAGGGAACCGGCTTTTCACCTCCCCAGCATCTGCATCTTTGCTTTGATGTGCAGTTGATGAGGGGGCCCCGAAGCTAGCAGCGAGCTGAGACCCCTCCTTCCTCAGGAAGGGATCCCTGTGCCCCAGGTGGAGATTCCCATTTGTGAACACACAGAAGTCATTCTCCCAGCCTCATCCAAATTCAGAGACCACCTGGCCCATTGAACACTGACTTGAGTGTGGATGATGCCATGTGGGGCCAGCAGCCTCCACTCAGAGAGGCAGAATCTTCAATCATGACACCTGTGGAGAAAGTTCCTGAGAGAGGGCAGTTCTGGGAGGCAGACCCGGGGCTGAGGACCAAAGACCTGAGTAATGTGAGTGCTGCCTGACCCAGCATCTTCCGGAAACCAAGCCAGTCACATCCCACTCAGGCACCTGCAATTGCCCCCAGGCAGGGCTCGGAGCTGGGAAACAGGGGACAGGTGTGGGCAGCAAGAGTTTGTCCCCCAAACTGTATGTATAATCTGGGGAGCATCCACAGAGTGGTAAGACAGACAAAATAGAAATAGACTGAGGCCAAGCAGGAGAGAGCGCCAGTGGACCACCCATGAGTTCACCTTCAGGCCCTGGGCTCGCCCAGCCCCATCTCAGGGCTTCTCCACCGACTGACACTAGAGACTGGGGTTCCACTTCCTGATCTTGGTGTTTCTTGATCTTGAGTTTCAGGAGAAAGTGTAGGGCCCATGGCCAGCCCTGAACTCACTTTGTATGAACCCCTATTCCTCCTAGGAAGGGGCCCTGCAGGTGCCTGTTTACTGTCCTGGCAGCTCCTCCACACTCGGCGGGCCCGGACCTTCCCGCCAGCCAGCACGCCATGCCGCATGGAGTGGCCGGGAGAGTCTGCGGCCAGGTGACCGGGACTATACCTGAGCTCTGTCCCCCACAGATCTCGAGGCCCCACCTTGATGTTCCTTCTGTCTCAGCACCTTAGAGGCAGAGCAGATGACAGAGCTGGGGGTGCGGGCAATCCCTCATTCCTGAGCAGGCCGGTGGGGGCTCTGGGAGGGCTGGGCCATGCCTTCCCCAATGCAGGCCCTTCTCCACACTGCATCGTGGGGGTCATGGCTACCACCCCCAGCCTGGTGGACACGGGAGGCAGGGGCTCAGAATCTTGCTGTGGTCACACAGCTGCCTGGTGCTGACCTGCCCCTGCCACCCGTCTCTGGGTTGCCTGGACCTGGGGGCATTCACCTGCCTCCTCTGTGCCCCTCGATAAAGAACAGGAAGGGCCCCATTCCTGGAAAATTCTAATGAGTATGGAGGAGAAGGAGGGAGAGGAGAGGGAGGGGGGAGTTGGGCACCGTCCAGGGTTTCCACAAACCCAGGGTGGGTCCCCGGACCAATGCTTCGTCCCCAGGAAGAAGTGGGGCACATGTTTACACCTGCTATCCCCTCCCCAGGGTCCCCGGCCCCCAGTGCAGCCGAGGCCCCCTTTACCTGTAGGGGCTCTGGGGGCTGGCAGGGCTTGTGAGGTGAGGGGGACATGGCAGTGAGGTGGGGGCAGTGCAGTGGGCTGTCTCCTGTGCCCCTGTCTCTATGAGGTGAACGTGGGGGGGAGGTCAATTGTCCTTAATGGCCCCCCTGCCCCCCATGCCCCTCCTGCCCCTTGGAGTCCGTGCTAAGGCCTCACATCTAGGATGTGGTCTTGTCTCCTGGGGCAGAGCTGGGACCTGGCTCAGACCCACATGTTCAGGGGCTTCAGACACGCACCCCCTCAGAGGGGAGTCCAGACCCCTCACCCCAGTCAGGACCTGCCCATGAGAACCCAGCTGGTGCCCCAACCTCGCTGGCAGCTCGGGCACTCTTCCCCCTACCCCTAAAGTCACCCACCTCAGGGCCACCTCCCGGCAGTGTCTCTGGTGGAGAAGGCTCCTGGCCACCTCCCTGCCAGCCAGTGGGGCACACACGGTCCATCTGAGCTCTGCCCAGCCGCCCTGGGCTGGGGGGAGGGGAGAAGGATGGGGGGAGGGGGCAGGGTAGGGAATTGGGAGGCTGAGGGCAGAAATGGAGGTGCCCCCCTGCCCCCATCGGGCCGCAGGCCCAGCCCTGACTCGCCCCAGCCCCTGGGGAAGAATCTTGGCACAGGGCAGCCAGCGCAGAGGGGCCACGCCCCAGGCAGCCTCAGTGTTTCACACTGACACATAGTTTTGGGTTGAGACACAGGCTCTGGGCTTTCAATCATGCTCAGGGTGCCTGAGGCCGCGAAGGGTAAAGGGCGGCCACGACCCACTGAGCTGAGGGGTGCTGAGTGCTCCTGGCTTGACCCGTGCGGGTCCCATGTGGCCTGAGCAGCCCCTGGAGTCCTGGTTCTTCAGCAATGAAACAGGAATAAGAGAATTTAGTAAAAGAGATAACCTGGTGGTGTGTTCACATGGAGGGAGGGAAGGGAGGGCAGGGAGGGGGCTGGAGCACTGGACCAGAGTCCCCAGGCCACCGACTGCCAGAGGCTGCCTCCCTGCTCTGATCCCACTGGCCACCCAGGTTCACCTAGCCTCGGTCTCCACAGGTGCAGGTGGAGAAAGGTGCAAGACAGAGCTGTCCAGCCTGCGGCCTGCCCTGGGCAGCTCAGGGGACGGGCCACCCTCTAGGACCTGGGCTGGTCGCAGGAGAACTGGCCCCCTGCCTCTGTTATGGGCCTCGGCACTCAGCCCACCTGGAAAGGCGAGAGTCTGGAGCTCCTGGCTGCTGGCCATTGGCAGCCTCGCTTCCTGCTCAGAGGATCATCCATCTGGAATTCCAATGGATAAACCCGCCTGTGAGCATGACCCTGGGGCTGGGGGATCCCCAGTTTGGTGTTCGTGGGTGTGCGGGGCCCCAGGCAAGACTCTAGCTACCCCTGCCCTCCCCCTGCACGGAAATGGGGGCTCCCACCTTCTCCTTTCTCATGATTTGGGGGAGATTGGGGAAGGTGCCCCACAACTTGGGATGAGCTCTGAGTGCTTTCTTCACATATGTAGGAGCCTCCAGGTGACCTGGGTCGGGAACACCTGTCAGCTGGGTGTGCACAGGTGTGGAATCAGGTAAGAAATCGAGTGTCTCTGCAAACCAGCACAGGTGCTGTCCGGACAGGGTTACGTCTCACTCCACGAGCATGTCACTGTCATCACTCATGGCCCCAGGTGCTGTCCCCGAAAGCTCCATTTGGTGAGACTCTGGGCAGGTAAACAGTGGTGTCCACTGGTTGTAGGTGCAACTCGCTTCCCAAAGAATGAGTTCCTGGGAAGAGTAGGAGTCCAGGGGACGTTGGAGTGTGTGTTTCTTGGTTGATAAGTAACTTTCACAAAGTCCACATGTCTGTGCACTGGGGCTTCCTCCTTGCAGCCGGCTGGGCTCTTCCTGTCCTCTCCACTGGGGACCCACAGAAGGTGGGAGGGTGGGACTCTGCGGGCTCCCAGACTGCGCTAGGCCACTCTCCTGTGGCCGGGAGGGCTGGAGACAGGCTTCTGGGGCCCTGTGGCCCAGCCTAGGGGGCGTGGCGTCCACCCCCATTGCCTACAGGCTTCAGCAGCTAAATCCGGTCAAGCCTGAGCTGCCTTGAGACTGACCTGCGAGGGGCAGGAATGTGCCTGCACCTGGCAAACCCATCATCTGCCACCAGGCTCCCATCCTGGATGCTTGCCTGCCCACCTCCTGGGAAGTGAAACCTCTGTCCTGGCTGTGAACTCGCCCAGCTTCTGGCTCCTTCCCCACCTTCTACCAACTCCCTCCACCACCTCCAGGAAGACAGAAGACAAAATAAGAAAGGGCAGCAGGTCCCTAGCTGAGGGATACGGTTCATTCAATTATTCATTCATTCATTCACTCCCTACTGGGTGCTAGGCCCTCCACTAAAGTGCTCTCCTACCCCAGCTCAACCATTAACCCAGCTTCAAGTGAGCCCCCATAGACCAAAGTCCAAATTTATGAAATGTTCAATCTGAGCAGAGTTAGTGTTTCACAAAGGGCTTCCCAGTAGCCTGCTATGAAAAGAATTTCATTCCCTGAATGCACCCAAAGTACAGTTGATTCCATGTAGACGCAGATACAGGACTGCTCATACCTGCTGGTGAAACAGTTTGTACCAAAAATAGATGCACCACCCAGCAATTGCACACCTGGGATTTACTTAGGGGACACGAAAGCGCAGATTTATGTACTAGCACAGATTTGTTTACTATATAAGTTCATAGCAGCTCCATTCGCAATTGCCCAAGACAGGACCCACATGTCCGTCTATGGGTGACAGATGGTGGTCCATCCATCAGTGATGCTCCTCGCAATAGAGAGGAACGAAGCACTGATCCCCTCCACGACATGGAGATCTGAGAAACAGAAGACTGCGGGCAGAGGGATCCTATTTGTAAGAAGTTCTAGAAGCAGCAAAACCCATCAAGGTGAGCGATGAGGTCATGGCTTCCAGGGTCCACTGTGGGGAGGGTCCTGGGGGCCCCATCGGGACGAGCAGAGCCCTCGGCTGTAGGGGGGTGGGCAGCCCGGCATGGGCTCGCCTGGCACCTTGGGGTCCCTGTCCCTGTGAAATGGGGTAATATTGTTGATATTTTCAAGCATCTCTGTCAAGCTTTTATGCATATGTGCACGCATGTGCACACACAATCACACACACCAGAGCCACACACGCATTCACACACTCACACACATGTTTGTTGTAAATAACACTTAGGATTACATCACACAGTTTTACAGTGTTTCCCCTTTACCAGGCTGCCTTAGCTCCACCGCACCAGTGAGCCTCCAGAGCGGCTCCATCTCCCGCATTTCACAGGCACGTCAGAACTTACTAACAACTCCAACATTCCCAGGTGCCTTTGATTTTTAAAGTAATGCTGAAATGAGCATCTTTGTACATAAATCTTTACCCACATCTGATTTTTGATTTAGGATAAAATTCTAGAAGTGGATTACCGGAGCAAGAGTTACA